AGGATGAAACTGACAACACTATTTTGTGGCAGAGCTTTGATCATCCTAGCAGAACACTATTGCCGGGTATGAAACTTGGTTATAACCGTACAACTAGGCAGAATTGGACTCTAACTTCTTGGCTAACAGATGATAGCCCGGCTACTGGGGCTTTCACTTTGAGCTGGGAACCCACCCAAGAGTCTGGGCAGCTGGTCATTCGGCATCGGGGAGAGCCTTATTGGACTAGTGGGGAATTGAAAGATCAGAATTTTGAACATATGCTATTGTTGAATAATTACAATCTCAACCTTGGTTATGTTTCAGCCAGTGATGGGAGCTATGTCACTTATTCTAATATGTATGGATTTAGTATGCAGTCGGGGTTGGACCTATATCCAGATGGGACAATTGTTGCTTCAGATAATGTGACTGCTGTCTTTAGCCCATATGAGTTTTGCTATGGTTATCAATCAGACGATGGTTGTGCGAACTCTACGGTGCCTGAGTGCAGGAGCCGTGGTGATACGTTTCGGCAAATGCGAGCAGCCTTCATAGATATTCCTGAAACTTATGACGTCAATTCAAGTCCAAGTATCAGTGATTGTATGAAAAAGTGCTGGAACAATTGCACTTGTGTTGGCTTTACCAACTCCAGCGTGCGCGGAGGGTGTGTGTTTTGGGTTGAGAATTTAAATTATACACTAGATGACCCTGATACTGAGAAAAAGTACGTGATGGTTCCAGAAAATTCGCCAACAGAGCCACCAAATTCATTCATAGAACCATCAAATTCATCCAAAGGTACTTCTACTTTTATCTCCATTAATTTCTGAATATCTGATCTGCATTCTGTTTCGAAATCATTGTCTATTACACCAAAATCTGGTAACAGTACACAAGGCGCATCTGGTTCATAGGTTCAGTATTTCAATTTCCTGGTGAACGTGTCTCTATAAACCTCAAAATAAACAGTGGAGTTGTAACTCATGTTGCATAGTGGTGATGAAAATCATGGAGTCATATGACATTTGGTTTTTATGCAGGAAACAAGTGGTGGATAAGGTTAATTATTTCTGTAGCTATTTCTCTACTTATGCTTAGCCTAGGCTGCTTCTACTATTCCAGAATGAGAAAGCTTAGAAAAGAAGGTATATGTCTTATTTCATATATGTATACATTTAGATACTGAATATGCATGCTTGTGAGTGGTTAGTTGGATTAATAGTGTTTTCGCTAGCAGGGGAGGAGAAAAAAATGCAAGAACAATACTTATCTGAGTTGACAGCTTCAGACAACCTTAACAATGGAAATGAGGCCGAAAATGAAGCGAGGGAAGGTCGCGATTTGAAGATATTTACCTTTGCCTATATTGTTGCTGCCACAGATAATTTCTCAGACGAAAATAAGCTTGGAAAGGGTGGTTTTGGACCAGTTTACAAGGTAAATATCATTTTTTAGTGAACAAAGTTGATTTCTACTTACAAAACCAAAAAAAGTACTTGTCCAACATAATTCAATGATCCATGAATCATATATAACAGGGAAGATTGCCTGAAGGCCGTGAAATAGCAATTAAGAGACTTTAAAGAACATCAGGGCAAGGACTTGTGGAGTTCAAGAACGAACTTATACTCATTGCCAAACTCCAGCATACAAATCTTGTTCGACTTCTGGGGTGTTGCATTCATGGAGAAGAGAAGATGTTAATTTATGAGTACATGCCCAACAAAAGCTTGGATTTCTTCCTCTTTGGTTTGCAGTATCTCTAACCTTACCTAGTTTCAATTCTTTCAGTACACCATTCCAAATTCATTTATGCTATTACATAATTGAGCTCTATGTATGTCACTAATTCTGTCTAAATTGTTTTTTGCTGATACAGACCAAGCTAAACAGAAGCTATTAAACTGGGAAAAACGTTTGAACATCATTGAAGGTGTCGTCAAGGATTGCTTTACCTTCATAAATTCTCAAGAATGAGAGTAATACATAGAGATTTAAAAGCAAGTAATGTACCGCTAGATGAAAACATGAACCCTAAGATATCAGATTTCGGGATGGCAAGAATTTTCAAGCCAAATGAAACGGAGGCAATCACTAACAGGGTTGTTGGAACATAGTAAGTGAAAAGTTGCTCTCTATGGGTTGACACATTGAAGCTTTTAAATCTTTACAAATTTTTTGTGCTTCACCTCCTAACTAAGTTTTTTTTCAATGACTGGATTTAGCGGTTACATGTCTCCTGAGTATGCCATGGAAGGAGATTTCTCAGTGTAATCTGATGTCTTTAGTTTTGGAGTGTTGGTCCTTGAAATCGTGAGTGGTAGGAAAAATACTAGCTTTTATCATCTTGATCGTCCACTAAACCTAATCGGATATGTAAGTATCTCAAAGTATATTTCTTTTATATTCATTTTCTGAACTATAACAAATCAATATAATTTTAATATGGAAATGAAAACAATATTGCCTCAGGCATGGGAGCTGTGGAAAGAAGGGACTGCATTGGAATTAAATGATCCAACACTAGGCAATTCGTGCTCCAAACACCATTTATTGAGAATCATTCATGTGGGACTTTTATGCGTGCAAGAAAGTGCAGAGGATAGGCCAACAATGTCAGAAGTAATTTCCATGCTTACCAATGAAACTGTGCCTTTACCAGCTCCAAAGCAACCAGCATTTTTCACAGGAAGAAGTGTGCCTCAGGAAATTTCATCAGAAACTAATGAAACTAGCTCAAAAGATCGTTCAGTAAATGGTTTGACCATTTCTGAAATGGAGGCACGATGAGTGGTAGAAACTTCTGTCCTTTTGATGCTTCAAGAATTTGGCAATTGCTTTGAATATTGGAACTGCTTTTTTGCAGAGTTGAAGTATATGTAACACAACTCTCATTGGAAAATAAATTTGAGGTTTGCTTACTGTCAAAATGATATTTGTTTGTTTTACTACAGCTACATACATGATCATTATGAAAATCATGCACTTCTTTTTATCATAGTTCGCTTGGAGTGCTATAAAATGAAGAAATGATTGATTTAATTGCAGAAGGGTGATGGCATGTGTTGTTAATATGATAAATTTGGCAGACAGAGAGAGAGAGAGAGAGAAAAAAAAAAAAAAAAGAAGAGGCCATGAGTCCTACATTGATGTAACATTTTCAATTCTTGTATGTTGTTAATAGGATTAACTTATCATACTTAAGATTGATAAGTTTTCATGTAGACAGCAGAGTCCTTGAAAGAAAAATAATGTGAAAACAACGTGCAAATTTCATGCTGATGCTAAATTACGAAAACATGAAAAAAATGTGTAAAGTTCATAATAGAAGTGAAATTGATGCCCATGAATCAGAAAGAAATTAAAATTTTAAATTCTCTCAGAAATATCTAACCTTGCATTGCACCTTTAGCCAAGTGAAGAAAGTCCACGAAATGGATTTTAGAAACCAGCTTTAGATGAGCTCTCTATTCAAAGCTCCGAACATCACTTTGAACCATACTCAGTATGCAGTCCATTCCTCATATCACTTCTTCTACAATTGATATACACTATAGCTTCCGCCAACAAAGGGTCCAAAACAATATAAACTGATTTTGAACCACATACAATATTTTCTCTTGTAGTTCCTTCCTACCAAGCCCATGCCACTGTTGAAGCAACCGAGACCTGAATTGTTAGCCATTTTCCATTTTTCCTTCAATCAAGCCACCATATTTGGGAGATGCATAGTTGAACTACTAGTTCAATCTTAGCCTTCAAGGCATAACAAAACCATTTTAGCCACAGAACCCAAATGGAAGATGTTTTGACTGTTGCAACTTCTATATGTTCCCCATTGGTGGAAATTGTGTATGCTTGCCTCAAAAAAGAAAAATACACAAATAAAAAGGCAGCATTATTAATAAAATTGAAGAACACACATAAGAAAAAGGTACTACAAAATAAGAAAAAAAGAAAGTTTCAAGAATGAAAAATTTAATAACATGTTATATTTAACATTCAAGGAAGTATAAACAAGAAAGTGTAATAATTGTCGGGATATGATTGATTTAATGCAGAAAGGGCCATAGCATGTGTCGGTTTCTTTGCAATGTCGTTGATAGGACAAATTTGACACAGAGAGAAGAAGAAGAAGAGGAGGAGGAGGACATGAATCCTACAATGATGTAACATCTTCAATTCTAGTTTTAAATTGTTAGATTCAATTTGAATCTGACTGTTTTTTATTTATTTATTTTTAATCCAAATTCAATCAACATATCGTTTCACGTTCTTTTTTTCTTGTTCTTTGTTTTTTTCCCCCTTTAAAAAACTTGTAGTGTGAAAATTGGGTCAAATATTAGTCCAAGAAGAAAATTGTGTATGCAGGAGGTCATGCTAATTTGATGGAGGAGAGACGCACAATACATACTTAAAAATGACCGGCTTTCATTTAAACAGCAGTCCTTCAGTTCATTCCCATCGGTTATAAAACCAAGCATGTACAAAGCGGCCAAGTGATTGGATGATTTTGATCTGAGCTATGCATAGCTAAGTGCACAAATGTCAAAAAATTCGCATTGATTTGAATAATCATAGTTGTGTAATTGTTTTAGTTTCCCTAAACAAAATTTTAAAGCAATCCAAGTCACTAATGGTCAAACCTTAGTTAGTTTAGAATTGGCTTTTCCAAGTTTGAACATTATTCAGAAATGCCAAAAAGTACCATTTCAGCACAGTGTGAAAGGTCATAAGTTTGAACATTATTTAGAAATGCCAAAAGGTCACATTTCAGCTCAGTGTGAAATGTCCAAGATTTGTTGCCACCCCACACTTGCGGTCTAAAAAATCAGTTGAAAATTCTCAGGCACACATTGAAATTCTCAACCCAATGGACTCATTTTTAATTCATCTTAGGATTCTGAACATTGATCAGTCAATGACACGGCTTGATTGGCCTATTATATTACACTTTCAAATAATAATTGCTCCTCCTCCTAACATTTTCAGATAATAGAGCTTTCTATGAATCTATGTTGCTGCTAGTTTGTGCATTCTTATGCTTCTGGGGATTTGATTCCTCCCTCGTAGCAGGAGAAAGCACAATCCAACACGGCGATGAACTCAACTCATCTGGTAGTCTTCTTGTTTCTGAAAGTAGGTACTTCACCTTAGGATTCTTCAACACCACCATGACAGCTTCCAGTTATTTAGGAATATGGTACACCTATGGGGACAAGATAAGGATAGTATGGGTTGCCAATCCTAACACACCAATTTTGAACAATTTTGGAGTTCTGACTATTGATAGCAAGGGAAGGTTAAAGCTTATGAGTGGAGGGAGTACTCTTGTGAATGTTTCTGATCAAGTGGGGACCGGAAATGTTAGTGCCACACTAGAAGATTCAGGTAACTTTGTGGTGATGGATGAAACTGAAAACAGGATTTTGTGGCAGAGCTTTGATCATCCTGGCAGCACGCTATTGCAAGGTATGAAACTATGCAGAATTGGACTCTAACTTCTTGGCTGAGTGACCATGAATATGGTCTAAAAACCTGATTTTTGACAATGAAGTGCAATGGAACATATCTAGACAACGCAAGAAATGAAAAATAAAAAGAAATGGGGATATCCCGGCCACCGGGGCTTTCACTTTGAGCTGGGAACCTACCTAAGAGTCTGGGCAGTTGGTCATTCAGCGCTGAGGAGAGCCTTACTGGACTAGTGGGGAACTGAAAGATCAGAATTTTGAACATATGCCATCATTGGATTCAAATTCTTTTGCTTACAATCACAACCTTAATCCATGTTTTAGCTAGTGATGGGTACTACTTCACTTTTTCTGTTGGTGACGAAAGGATGTTGTGGAACCTGATTCCAGATGGGCGAATTGTTGATGGTAGTGCTTTTGTCCTTACCCCACATGAGTTTTGTCATGGTTATCAATCAGACGATGGTTGTGTGAACACTACAGTGCCTGAGTGCAGGAGCCATGGTGATACATTTCAGTAAAGGCGAGCAGCTTTCATAGGAAACCCTTCCACTTATGACAACAATTCAAGTCTAAGTATCAGTGATTGTATGGAAATATGCTGGAACGATTGCAATTGTGTTGGCTTCGCCAACTATAGCAATGGAGTAGGATGTGTGTTTTGGGGTGGGAATGTAAATTACACACTAGATGAACCTAATAATGTGATAAAGTATCTTTTAGTTCCAGCAAATTCATCCATCGAACCAACAAATTCATCCAATAGTAAGTCTACTTTTATCTCCATTAATTTCTGAATTTGATCCGTATTGTGTTTCCAACTCATTATTACCCAAAAAAACTGGTAAACAATAAATGAGACACATCTGGTTTATAGGTTCAGTATTTCAATTTTCTGGTGTATCATGTCAAAACTAGGATGTACCCTTGCTCTTTTGATAGATATAATTACTTCTTACAGAAGATTGATCACACTACTTGTACTGATCTGGAAATAATCCTTTCACATATGTCAGTAGCCAGGGACGGACCCAGCAGGGAACTAGGGGGGCAGATGCCCCCCCTGAATTTTTAATATTTTCATTTTTTACCCTAATGTTTTTAAAATTTATGAAAATGCCTCCCCTAAAATTACAATTCGCCCCCACTGGATTCTTATTTTTTAGCATTTTATACTTCAAATTTTGATAATTTATGAAGATACCCCACTATAATTATAATTTGCCCCACTGATTTTTTTTTTTCTTCATTTTATACTTAAATTTTTTAAAAATTTATGAAAAATACCCTATTAAAATTACAAAAATAAACCCATCATATAATTTTGTACCAACAAATTAAAAATTCACCCCCCCTCACCAAATTTTCTGGGTCCGTCACTGTCAGTAGCTTAGTTGATTTTAATTTCTTCACCAAACATTTAATCCGTCTAGATCAAATAAGATTGCTTAAACTTACCTACCCATTCGAATTCCAAGTAATGACCTAAAATAAGGAGGTTGAGGAAGAAGAAAATTTGGTGGATCCAAGAAATTTTGAGAGAGAGAGAGTGTTTCAACTGGTCAAATTTTGAGACCATGTCGTCGCCAGCCTTAACGAATCATCGCCGTCGGCCCTGCAAAATCAATAGTGCTACCATCATCGCCGCTGGCCCTGCAAAATCAGTAGCGCCACTGTACCCTTTTCTATTCATCACCACTGTACTCTCTTCGGCTCCTCTATTAATGCCTGCGATCAAGTCCCTCTACAGCACTCATCTTCCTCCACCATGACAATCAACACCACATCGCCGCCGCCGCTAGAGACCATGTCGTTGCCGGCCTTAATAGACCCTCGCCGCTGGCCCTACAAAATCAGTAGCGCCACCGTCGATGCAGACTAATCGGATTACGGTTCCGGCGCAATGGGCCAAAAGGATGAAGCCGCTGCTGGAGACCATGTCGTCACCGGCCTTAACAGACCCTCGCCGCTGGCCCTGCAAAATCAGTAGAGCCATCATCATCGCTGCCGACCCTGCAAAATCAGTAGCGCCATTGTACGCTCTTCTATTCATCACCACTGTACCCTCTTCGGCTCCCCTGTTAATGTCTGCGCTCAAGTCCCTCTACAACACTCCTCTTCCTCCACTACAATCAACACCACATCGTCGCCGCCGCTGGAGACCATCTCGCAGCCGGCCTTACAAAATCAGTAGCGCCACAATCGATGCAGACTGATCGGATTACGGTGCAGGCGCATGAGCTCCATCCACGGTGGCTGTGCGGCCGACAAGTTTGCCAGCGATAGAAATTGAGCTGACTATTTATCTCATCCATATGGTGGCTATGCTGATTTTCATGCGATGGCAAGCTAGCCGGCAACGGAATTGGGTCTCGATCTGTTTTTAGGGTTTGTGGTAGTGAGTGAATCTAGGGGCTAGTTGAGGTGGGTGGTGGTGGAGGGCATATAAAATTGGGGTATATAAGTAATTTTAAGTAAAAATAAAAATAAAAATATCTTTTGTAATTTGTTTAGGGCAAATGTGGTATTCATACTTAAAAATGGCTGATGTCATCAAAAATGACCATTGACCGGCGTTGACTTTCACTGGAGGGAACTAAGTGTTACGACGGAACAAACCTTGAGGGAGGACGGTGTAATTTTTTAAACGTAAGGAGTACCGCCTGTAATTACCCTTAACCCCAAGGGAGATAAGTGTAATTACCCCATCATCTATTTACGAGCAAGTGAATGGTCTAACAATGAGATAATGTACTAAGGGACTTGGAACACAGGTTCTTTGCATTAATTATAAACTAATAACCCAAACATATTAGATCGAAGATTCATGTAGCACTCTATTATAATGTTTGTACTTGTACCTCTCAATATAAATGCATATTACCTCCACAGTTAAGTTTTATTTTATTTTTGAAATAATTAAGTTGCGTTTTCTTAAGACATACGTGATGATTAATCAAACATATAATATATGTTAAATCTTGTTAACATTTAATATAAAAAAATTAAAAATTAAAAAAATAATTAATGAGTTCACGAGTCATAACGGGTTGACCCTATTCATTTTTAACCCATAGTTATATGTACCAATCTCTGATACTATTTTATCAGATAGGCTCACCCTATCCATCTTTTAAATTTTAAATATTCAAACAAAAATCAAGCATTCGCTAACCAAAACCTGTTAATCCAATCTCCAGCTAAATAATCACATTGGGTTAGGAATGAGACCATTGGTCCCATTCTTTCATGGCTCCAATGGGTTAACAATTGACCTGGTCAATTTTCATTGATCCAATTTGTAATACTCCTAATTTAGAAATGGATTGATGAAGTCCACACTCAAAAATCAGAATATCAAAACAATTAAGTATTTAAACAAGCACGGATTACAAAATAAAAAATAAAAAAAGAAAAAATAAATCGTTGAAAGACCTCTAATGATTATTAAATCTCATCTCTTAAATAAAACCATACTCCAATAATTTGATAACTCGTAACCTTTTGATCCGGCCTAGAATAATTTGATAACTCGTAAATAATTTGATCCGGCCTTGCCCCCTTGCTCAGCCTTCTTCCTTCCTTCTCTCTCATTCCCTCTTCGTTCTTTCTCTCGGCTGCTCTCTTTTCTTTTCTAACGTGAAACCCTTCTCATACACTTTCATTCCAAAAGTACCACATAACTGACAGAATAATACGTGTAAATATAATAATACAAAAATGTAAATTATATATATATATATATATATATATATATCATTTAATATACATATATATTATTATATGTATATAATCAATTATGACCATATGTTTTGTCTACTTAATCCATATATCAAGGCTTCTTTTAAAGCCCAAGGCCACATCCTTTGGTCCAAACTTTCTTAAACCCAATCTATTAAATATTTAATAAATAAAACAATTAAACAAAATAATAAATGCACAAAATTCACAAATAAATATTGTCATACAAACAAACTAATAATTAGCATGCAATTTAATTAACATAACACACCAAATCAATCAATAATCATGAAATACAATTTAAATAGAAACAAGCAAAATAGTCCAACAATCATTCAACACCCAATTAAAATTAAATAAATCAACTAAACCAAAATAAATAAAATAAAATAATCTAAATGAATAAATCCTTTAAAATATAGGAGTACTACATAATTCAATTAACCCATTAACTATTCTTAACTCCACTAAATAAGAATAGTTGAATTCCAATTAGAAAATGGTTAACCGCTAAGTTAATTTACATAATGACCCCTCTATACTTAATTAGCTATCGGATAAATAAGTATCATCAATCTGACTACTTAATTAATTCATTTATTTTGACTCTTTGATTATTTTCCATTTGATCACATGAATCAATTAATTTGATAAAATGATATATTTAATAAATAAATATATATAAAAAATAATTTTATTGAAAACACACAACGGCCTCCGAATTTTTTCGTGATCAAACTAATTAAGTTAATATATATATATATATATATATATATATATATATATATATATATATATATAATAGCGCAGATGCAATTATTGAGAGTATATTCCCAAGCTATTAATTAACAATTACCCAAAGTACCGGTTATTAGATCTTTGGGCTTACCGAATAAATCAAAGCAATTATTAATTAATATAAGAATTTATACCTCTCTTATGCTTGAGAGTCATTCGTCGTGACGATGATAAGGAACAATTATTACAACGGCTCTCACAACCTAGTTGACTTATCCTTGATCTAGTTCATTTATTTGTTGATTAATAGTCCATCCTTTATCACCGATAATAAATCATTTATGATAGCACATTTGCATCAATTTGTATATTCCATTTATGAACCCATTCATTAAATACAAAAATACATACGTTATCAAGTGAACAACCTCGATTCGAATCCCGAACCGACCGATACATAGAATTCACTAATTACACACACACACACACACACACAAAACACAACACATTTAAATAAAACATGGATAATATAAAATGCAATGAATGTCAATTATATTTCATAAATTTTGCTATAGGCATACAAAACCATCAAGTTCTTCAAGAAGATCATTTTTTCCTCGCCCCCTCCACACTCCCAAATAGAACCAGATAATAATGTGGCGGACGACAACTGCACCATAATGACCATCCAAGGCTACAAGAATAACCCTGAACGGAGTTACTAACTTACTTTCTGCATGATTGGGGACACTGCATGGACTGCATTACCCCCACAAAATTCTTGGCTGCTTAGACCTCGCGTACTCTATAGAGCACCAACTTTTTTATTGTTTGAGGTGTTAGTGTTTAGAACCTTAGGATCTTCGCAACCCTGCCTCTCCAAAGAGAAGTGTCATATCTAAATCCTTGCCTTTTCATGCCATTCCGTAACTATAGTAGATCATATGAACAAGTTTGCGATTCCTAGAAGATATCTAGTTGAGTCTTCAAGGGATCTATTAATGGTTAACAAGTTTTGGATTATGGAACCACCTAAGAACAC